CGATATGCAGGTCTCCTGCTATTTATTATAAAATCAGCATATACAGATTTCAGAAAACATTCGACACATCCTTGTACAAAAAATTAAAAAGACAAAACAATGAAGTACAAAAACTACAGGTTAGCGGCATGCTAAGAGAAAATAATGGACTAAGAGCCCGACACCAGAGTGAATTCTCTCGAAACCGCTAACTTGATTAAAGACTCCTCAAAATAAAGACCACCTTCTTATAGTCTCAAATGAATGAATATCTTATATTTTTTAAATATTATACTAATAATAAAGACCAAAAGTGCCAAAAACTATGAAAACCCTGGATCCAAAAGTGGTCTTTAATTGGGGGAAGAAAAGTACTGTACAGTATTCATTTAATGTATTATAGCGATATTCGTAAATGTTATTGATTCTAGGAATAGAAAAAGCAATAGAAAAAAATAGGACTAACTGAAGTGGAATCCATAATTTGCACCTTTAATTTTATTTTTTTTAAATTATTATAACAAAACACTCACACGCAAATACATAAAAAAGCAATATAGATATAAACTTCTTTTAATTAGACCAGAATAAGATCAGATGGAATTCTTTGATCATAAAATATCAGCTTACATATTGACAAATTTCTACAACTATCAGGGAGGATAGCACCTGGATGCTGATTAAGTTGTGATCACAATGTTGATCGCAAGTTGATCATTATCACAAAGTTGTGAATGGATTAGATACACTGTAAAACACATCAAGAAAGAACCATGATAGTCCAGACTTATTTTTAGTGGTGTCCTTCTGGTGGTGAATTGGGCAGTACAATGGGAAATCCAACTACTCTCTTTCAAACACAATTCAGCCTTCCAGCTGAAACACAAGGAGACCAGGGATAAAATTGGACCAAAGTTTTCTATCCATGGTTCGAGGCACACAGCGGCTACCACCAGTTTAGCCAACTGAGCTATGCTGCTCTCTAAACTGATGATGCATAAATAGTAGATGCATGAAAATACAGGTCTCCCTTTAATGAAATACCCTCCAATTAAAGACCATCTCCAATTAAAGACCACTTTTCTGTGGTTCAAATTAACAAATGTCTTTAATTTTTATTATTCTAATTAGAGACCAAATCTGCTAAAGACCATGAAAACTCCTATCCTAAAAGTGGTCTTTAATTGGAGGGAGACCTCCAGAAACTACAAAAATATACTACACCTGATGAAGCCAGCATAGGCTGCTGGCAAAACCTTGTGTAATAAATAAATTGAAGTCTGTCTATAAAGTGCTACCAGTGTTTGTATTTTCATAAACTGATGATGAATGCTTGTATAAGTCAACATTAATGATTGGGTTTTAGGTAAATGAATCTACTGTTTTGACAGCAAAATGCTACATTTTAAAAAGGTTCTTCTCATTTTCTAACTTACCAACAAAGTAACCAACTAGAGAGCAATGAAAATAGGTGAGTTTATCTGCGAGCGTTGGTGGTAAAGGAATTCCCGTTGAGGTGGTAGCTTCCAGATTCGATTGTCGTTTATACTTATCATACCGCATTACAAAACATAACAGAAGTCCAGGCATGACAATATCACCGAGACCAAGCATGGAAAAATGACCTGAATTATGCATGCTGTAATAATAATTAAAAGCCAATGATATCAATTTATTATATAAATACAACAATTTTAATTTATACTTCTGTACAAATGATAATTGTTTATTATATCAAATTATTATAATTTATGTAATTATGTTTAATCATATACTTGTGTACAAACAATAATTACGTATGATCATAAATTCTCATACCAAAATTGCTATTACTTAAAAAATAATATTTAAAGTCCAGTGATATCAATTTATTATATAAATATAATAATTTTAATTTATACTTCTGTACAAATAATAATTATTTATTATAAAAAATATATATATATATATTACTACATATTTGAGATCTGCAATAGTTAAATTAATATTGATAAAAATATCAATTCACTATTATAATTAATATCCTTGTTATAATTGAAAACTTGTGTACAAACAATAATTATTGACACTCACAATGATCATATCAATTTAAAATTAATATAATTATGTTTTATTCAGATACATTATGATCATAAATTCTCATACACTGTGTAACTAATTTTACACAACAATAAAGAATACTGAACATTGCATTATAATATTACTGTGTCCTTATCTAAATGCAAGACTTCATTATGAATGTTTCAGATGAAAGGTTAAAGGTTAAACAATGCAATCTTCATCAACTTTAGAGAAGCCCATTAGGCCTGGTGTTGGCTTCACTACTTACCTGGGAAATATTAGCTTTCCAGGTAAGGACAATTGAGGTGCATCCTTTGCAAGACCAGGAAAATTTATCTTCTTTGCAATTATTCCAACCTGTAAGAATGGATTATTCCTTAATGATGAACAAACATTAGCAGTTGTTTTTGCCTGATTATTAACACATACAAAATAATATGAGATTGAGAATTAGTGATTTTGAATAAAGTAATACAAATTGGTTGTACAACAATATGTAAAAAAATATATACATTTTTTGGTAATTTATTTTACCAAAAATAGAAATAGAAATTTAAATAGCATATTTGAGGCTTACCATCCCAAAACCATTTTACTGTGGCCAAATTTCAAACCGAGTAATTAACATAAGAATGTGGCTGTATTGTATACTTTAGTAAAGAGAAGCTGTTCATAACTCACCGAGCAGTAAAGTCGATTCTAGTTAATGACCCATCATTTTAAAGCTTACAAAGTGGAGAATAAGTATATATTGAAAATTGAATTTTCATTTTTTTTTTTAGTCACTAATTGGTAATTTTGGGATGGCAAGACCCATATTATTAAACAAAATATATAAAATTTAACGATTTTGGATAAATAAGTAATAAAAATTGATTAACATCCTGCACAAGAAATTTCATACTATGAACAAAATATTTTCTATAATAAAAAATCAAATAGCATTTCGCTAGTGCAATTTTTATATAGGCCTAATTTTATCTTCTATAATTTTATATGTTCAACTTCAATTTCACAATACCGGTCTCACTCCAATTAAACACTGTTTTTGGGACAGGGGTTTCAATGGTCTTTAGTAGCTTTGGTTTCCAATTAGAATAATACAGATAAAAGACATTGTTAATATGGGACCATAGAAAAGTGGTCTGTAATTGGAGGTGGTCTTTAATTGGAGGGGTCTTTAATTGTAGGGAGACCTGTATTGGAAATTGAAATAGTGTATTTGTAATTTGTTACATACAGAGCTATTTTTAGTATACTGCAATTGAAAATTGACATAACTATAAACAACCACTGCTGAATGACTCCAAGCCACATTAAATACTGTACACGTTTATAACAGCTTGTGTACATAATTCATCTATTACTTATGCTATGATCTATCATTTCAAAACCTTTTGGCAATTAAGTGAAATATGAAGCATACATTTATACAATCACTATGAATATTGGAGTGAATGAACTGTCAGTGTTTTAAAAATCTAACAGCTAATTGCCTAACACTAATGTACAATCCATAATCAAACATGATTTTCCTTTAGTTTTTATATATTCCAAAATCTGTATCTCGTAAACCGTTTGAGTTTTTCGTCAAACACCATTTTTGTGTCTTAGGAAAATCAGTTGTACATCAAAAATTATTTAAAATTATTTAAAATTATTTAAAAATTATTTTTCCACCGGAGACTAGGTTTAAGGATATAGGAATGTTAATGCTTAACATCTGTTAATAGGCTAGGACATTTCTCCCCATTATAATTTTCAATTGAAAATAATAACCTATTGAACATATACCCAAGTACATATATTAGATGTATAAAAAATATATTTATGAAACATCACTTTATTAAAATATTTTATTAATGTTGAGATTCAGCAATTATAAAACTATTGATATTAAAATAAAAACATATTTAGTATTGTGTAAATTCATATAGTAATATTATTATGTTTACTATAATTTCATAATCACAAAACAACCTTGTAAAAACATACACAAAAATGAGGCATGTTGCGGCAAAATGGCCAAGTTGTAGCAGAAATTTAAATTCAAGTTATTAGTATTTTCAGATACCCGAGTATGTGATCTTTAAAATGAGGGGTCATTCATTCAAATTGGAGATTTCAAGCCTAAGTTATTGGAAAGTGAAAGTACAGTTACTCTTAGAGTCAAGATAAACATGATTTTGAGTAATTACCTTTCAAAGTTATTTGTGCATACATTGTATAATAGAATGAACTATGAAAAATAACGTTAAATAAACAATTTGTTAACCACTTCCAGAACTAATACATTGGGACATGATTAATGAGACTAAACTGTTGATCTATAGTGAAAAACAAATTTGGATTTTTAGGTAATTTTTTGAGCTCCCATATTTCATAGCTCATTTACTCAATACTGGACTACGCGACGATGTAACCATTTCGCCACAACATGCCTCAAATGTGCAAGTTCAAAGTGATGTGAACTCATATAGGAGAACCACATGTAAACAATCCACTATTAGCCTTAACCACATGGTAAGGTACAAACAGATGATATATTATTTTCCAATCATGTGAATGCGCATTGACGCAAACAACTAACGACTACAACCTAAAAGTATCATTATTATCTAACCCCCCAAAAAAAAAACATACCGGATTATCGGCAGGTCTCGTCGCAACCTTAACCATCACATTTGCATTAAATATGTACGTAGAGAAAAACACCCAGAACACGTCATAGATGAGAAGACCGCTTAATAGTAGTGTTGATACTTTTAGGCTTGGTAATCTCACAAACGCTATCATAGTTACACAGAGGCCCATTGCAAGAGCTGAAAAAGACAAGATAAATAATGATATTGTATCTTTACTAAAAATACATAAAACCATACTGTTACATAAAAATTAGTTGTTAAAAATGTTTTAAAGGTAAAGGTTAAAGGTTATCTATTTTAATAACATGCAAAATATGAGGGTCTCTACTACTGTATATGCGCAATGTACAATAAAAGGACAAAATCTACAAAACCACAATAAGGATTTTTTTTTTTTAAAGAGAGAGAATAACAACCATGAACATAAAAAAACATGTACAATAGGATATTTTACCAACGAAGGGAGAAACCTAATAATAAATACATCAATCCTTCAATCAAGTCAGACAAAACTAGAACAAGTTCCTATAACCTCCATGGATTCATGACATACTCTTAAGTCTAATTCATTCATTATACATACTACAGAACACTGCAGTAGCCCACACGTTTCCATTCAAAGAACCATGGAGCCTAGCACTATTAAGTAAAATATTGATAATATTTTAATTGACAACACCAGTCACTATATACAGTATAAAATTGTCAATTTGTGCAACTCATTTTGCAAGAAAGCTGTGTTTTTCTAAATTTTAATTTTAGAGATACTAATAAACATCAAAATATTTACTTAAATACAATATAAATACAGGTCTCCCTCCAAAGAAGGACCACTTTTGGGACTAGGATTTCCATAGTCTTTAGCAGGTTTGGTCTTTAATTAGAACAAAGATAAAAGGCAGCTGTTCATTTGGGGGAGGGGAAGACACAGAAAAGATGTGGTCTTTAATTACAGATATTCTTTAAATTAGGTGATCTTTAATTAAAAGGCGACCTGCATAATTAATATAACACTGGTCTTAAGGAGACCTGCATAATTAACACACAAGTTACATAAAGTCCTTTCCAGACTATCAAATATTATTTGAAAAGACATGTGACATGAGCGCCTAAATATGGTCGTGATGATATTATATCATGACCATGTATAGAAACATCATGACTATACATACAGTACAACAGTTTTTGTCAAAAGAAAATTTAATAGTCTAGGCAGATATTCAGTAAAAGAAATTACGATACAGGTGGCTAAAATAAGAGGGGAGAAGAGCAGTTATATATTATGTACATGTAATGCTATGGACAATAGTCACTTACTATCAGTTCTTCAATTTATTTATTTCATTTATGAGTTCCTTGCCATTACATGATGAAAATCTATGCGATGTTGTATGAAGGTAGTCTTATTACTGTGACTAGCTAATGGACTGGCTTTATTATTCTCCTGAGAGTATATATACACACGGTATTTCTGTGATCTGTATCATCAAGTTGAGGCAGTAATCTTAATAATAGACAAGACGCAGTTCAACTCTAGGTAAATCAGGCTAGCTACAATATTTCTTTTTTCACATTATTTCTTGTTTTCATGTTTCATTCTTCTATTTAATATTTTTTCTTCTTTTTTTTAAAATATTTATTTTGATTTTTCTATTATGTTCTTTTTTATGGATTTTTGTATGATAATTGAGTGTTGGCCTTTAATATTAATCGACTTAATTGCTGTAATTATTTATGTTTGCTGTTGCTTTTGGTGTTTTTTTTTATGTTTATGGTTTAATTAATCCTTTTGAAAATGTATAGTGGCTGTCCTTTTAGTGCTGATTTTTAATTATATTAATCATCGCTAATTTTAATTATATCAATCATCAAATTAATTGCTGTAATTCTTTGTGTTTACTGTTGATTTTGGTGTTTTTTTTTTATGTTTATGGTTTAATTAATCCTTTTAAAAATGTATAGTGGCTGTCTCTATTTTTCATATGTGTATTTTGCAATGAGTTTGATAATGAAACCAGAAATGAAAAACAAATGTTTTGTAATTATGAAATAGCACATAGGAACATACAGTATTAAAGATGTAATCAGTGATGAGGTAAAAAAAAAAATTCCACATTTAATTGCTTAATTTGTATATTTAAGTAATTTATTAACTTAAAATTATAAATTAATTTGTACTAAAAAAAACTTTCCCGTCAATTTTCGAACAGTTCAATAATAACTTTCATGTATTCTTTTTGCACTTATTCTAATATTGGCTAGTAATTAATTTTAGGATTTTTATAGTAAAATATCTGTATTGGTGAAAACTTTTTTTTATTTGTTTTTTTGTTGGAAACTAATTATTTGAGCCATTCAACTGAGCTTTTCTAAATTTTATTTTAATTTTTGAGGTATTTTCTTGTCTTTTTGACTGATGGGACATATTTAGTGAATGCACTTTACAATATGACTACAGTATTACTATGTTGCATGCTCCTCCATTACATACTACAGTAAATGCCAATTATAGAATGAATGCAATACTCTTTTCTATTAGGATCCTATATCAGCTAAGTGTCATTAAGTAAAGTTGATAAGTAGTGAGTGAAATCCTCTCTTCAGCTTCTCAACATCTGGAAGCAACGAATATGTTTATAAAGGGACTTTAGCTTGGTGGGTGAAAAAATTCATAATTATTCATAATAACTTTGTTGCAATCATACAACAGATTGGATAATACAAAATATTCTAAAAGCAACTGAATATAAAACACACAAAAACCAACAAGCAAAACTTTAATAAACTTCCAGTAAGTGTAAAAAAAATATATATATAAATTCATTCTAAGAAAATTTTATGATTCAAATTAAAATAAGATAACAAATAACAAATAATAACAAATTTAATTATTTAAACAATTATTTTAACTTATAATTTAAACCGAATTGAAACAGTTCAATTATTAAACATCTAAAAATTTTCATTAAAAATTATTTGATTATTAGTTACATTTACAATATTATTTAAGAAAAATTACTGTTATAAATTACTATTATTTACAATATTAATAAAATAATTATCTGTTATCAATTACTATTATTTGCAATATAATTTAAAAAACCAAATTATCAAAATTAGTACTACAAACTATTTTAATAGGTATGGAATATAAAAACCTACAAAAAATGAACTAGAAGATACTGTAAAATTATAAATTGCTTTTGTTCCAACACCAGTCTCTTTAAATCCAAATCCTATAGATACCAAGATATTTTCCAATACATACCCCACTACAAAGCCTTTTCTAAGACTTGCAAATTAATAAGAATTTACATTTAAGATTTTTATGTGGTTTTTATTTTAGTGGGGTTCTAAATATCAGCTGATTTGGATTTAGCTGGAAGTGTTTCCGTCCAAAAATATGGTACAAATAAACCAGAACCCTGCGGGTGTGTACGTTCCTTTGTACGCAAAAACTAAACACAAATTTGGGAATTGCGATAATTAATAGTCACCAAGCAGACCTATCCACATTCTGGATGGAATGGACGCCTCAACGTTATAAAATATAATAATATAATATAATATCAATATAAAAGACAATCGATTAACAACAGTAAACTATCCACTCCTTCAAAACAAACCGCGCGAATTGAGCGGAAGTACGATCTGACCCTGTATCCCAGAACACATTGCGCTATATGATACTTTGGCGTGTTAGCCCTTGTAATGGTGTGTTGTATAAACGCCGACGTTTGGAGGATCGTCTCGGCTAGCTTAAACACATTCAAGGACATGAATCCGTGTTCGTATTTAGTGTGTAGTATAAACACAGCCTAAGACTTGCAAATTAATAAGAATTTACATTTAAGATTTTTATGTGGTTTTTATTTTAGTGGGGTTCTAAATATCAGCTGATTTGGATTTAGCTGGAAGTGTTTCCGTCCAAAAATATGGTACAAATAAACCAGAACCCTGCGGGTGTGTACGTTCCTTTGTACGCAAAAACTAAACACAAATTTGGGAATTGCGATAATTAATAGTCACCAAATTCATTCATTGCATTATGCCAAATTTGAAACTAATTGGACTTGCCAATTGTAATTGTAGATTGTGAAGTTAAGAGACCTGTTCCTTAACGGCAAAATAGTGTAAGTAGGCCTAGACTACAGTCATGGTAATAGTAGGCCTATTCAATTTTTTTTTTTTTGGGGGGGGAGGGTTGGGGGGAGGATTTTTTTTTAAGAGGAAAAAAATTTCAATTTATATTAAAACCCCATAGTAAGCAGGTCCTAGTGTAAAATATAGGATATTTAGTAATCATGCAACGAATCGAATTGACTGAGAACATACAATAAATACAAAGTGTACCATAGGCCTACATCGCGGTCGAATTCATTCGGGGAGGCCTAAATAATCCTGCCTAGGCCTATTAAGCCTACACCAACTGCCTCCGAGCACGTTTTCTGCTGGACCTTGTCGTGTAGGACTAGGCTAGCCTAGGCCTCCTAGGCCTGGATTTGCCTGTTTGAAAAACGCTTCAAAACGTCAGATAACGAAACATTTTGCTCAATATGCACTTTCATACGGAAAGACTCCTGTCCATTCCTATCTCTTATTAACTCCTGTAGACCTTTGCTAGCAATGAAGTAGCAATACAGCATTTTTGCCGACTGTCGCAAATGCATTTGCCAAAGAGTATATAACTGCAAGAGGTCTCACTGCCGGGGATTCTTTGAAACGCAATCCTATTTCAAAAAGTACTACTCAAAAGGGACGTGGCCTTAACGTACGTACTATGATCGAACGTGTGCTGTGTGCACGTTCCATTGCCTGCATACAAAATAATGGCAATGGGACCTCTTGCAGTTTTTTTAAACCCTTTGCTTTTGCCTATGCTTTTTTGGTGGCACGCTTTGATGATTGAAAAATTAAAAAATACGAAAACAATCGTTTTTTTGGGTTATTTTTCGGCATTTGCGGGTATTTGGCATATGAAAAATCAGAAGCGGGCCAAAGTCAGAGTTGGGCAGTGACGCTAAACAAGTATATGCATATATTTATATATATATATAT